TTAAAGACTTATCTGTATTCAAGGTATTGGAGTACTCGTCATGGTGCCTGCCACTTGGTAGAGGCTTATGCGTATTAGCTACTATTATGTACCTCAGTTTACATTTTTGACAATCAACTTCTCCTACAGGATTGATCCTGAGACACCACGCTTATTCTTGTGGCCCTGATGACTCAGTATTTTATTCTGTTCTCACGCTGCTATGAAGAACTGAACTACCAGAGACTGGGTAATTTATGAAGAGAAAAGGTTTAATTGACTCACAGTTCTGCAGGCCTAACAGGAAACATGACTGGGAAGCCTCAGGAAACTTACAATCATGGCGGAAGGCAAAGAGGAAGCAGGCATCTTCTTCACAAGGTGGCAGGAAAAAGAGAGTGAAGTGGGAAGCGCTGCATACTTTTAAACCATCAGATCTCATGAGAACTCACTCACTATCATGAGAACAGCAAGGGGGAAATCCAACCCCATAATCCAATCACCTCCCACCAGGTTCCTCTTCCAATTTGACGTGAGATTTGGGTGGGGACACACATCCAAACCATATCACTCAGTGTGACAACCTTATCAATGTAAAGATAGAGTCAATATTCCCATAAGGAATAGATACATAGACTAGCAATGGAGCCGTTTTATGATAGGATTATTAGGAGTTGAAGTTGAGGCTTAGCCAGCCTTTCTATTGAAAGGCCCCTTTTCCTGGCCTTTCATTAGAAAAGAGAGAGAAAGGGAAGAGAGAACCTATATCTCAAGTTGTAAATTTGTAAAGAACACCACAGCTGCTTAACAGTCTTCCCAGTGCATGGACATTTTCTTAGGCTTCTAAGATTCCTTGGGAAAGCAACACTGAATGGCTGTTAAAATTCCTTAGGAATCATGGAAAACTAGGAGACTTTGAAGTGACAGGCAAATGTCCAATTTTCTGAAGAAGAAAGACACGTTTTGCCTCCTCGATGGTAAGCCCCATTTCATGTCTTCATTAGCAGAGGTCTAATAAGGATTTGTTAAAAGATGGTTTGAAAACATCTGTGCAGGAAACATGCACCCTGCTAAAATCCGGCTCTCCAGAGCTTAACAAGGACCAAGCTGAGCCAGAGCAGCACTGTGTCTTTTGGGGGTAGATTGCCAGTTGGATGGCTCAGGAGGTCATGTATTTGCATCTCAGCCAAGACTCCTAACACAAATTGATTTCTATTTTATGTCAGTGCCTGTTGTGTGCCAAGTCCTATGCTAAGCATTGAGAATTATCAAGCTAAAATGGCTCAGTTTTATGATAGCAGAAGTATTCTATTTTTCTCAATAGATGCACACATATGAATGGTTGGAAATTTGGAAGTTAATAAAATTAATGGCAGATTTAATATATTGAATAAACCTAGTTCCTGAGGCAGTGCACCCCTAGAGAGTGGTCTTTCATGGCATTTATCCAGGCTCTGCCCTGCCTTGTAAATGCTCTACCAACATTTTTATGGTGATGTTTATATATTTTTGGATAAACCAAAAATGGTGAGAAAACCGTTATTCATTGATGAAACTAGTCCAGAAAGATGATCCTTTTCTCTGACAAAGACCAAAATTGTGATAAATAGTAACCACAAAGTCTTATACTCTTTTCTACTAGTTAAAAAAAAACATCTACTTTTGTGTTTGCGTGTGTGTTAAAGATTTAGTATTAGTGCATAGAATTTTAACCATAAACCATTGAAATATAAATAAGATAATTAAAATCTTCCTATCCAACAGATTTCTCCTTCTTTCCAAACAACCAATCTTTGTTCTAACAAAATTTGTTCTAACAAATCTTTTTTTTTTTTTTTCTCCCACTAGCTCATGAACTCCTCAAAGTCAGGGCCTATATATTGTAGCCTCAATGTCTGATAAAATGCCTGGATGCTCGAAAGTCCACAATAAACACTTCTTGAAGATGTATTCCCCGCCCCTGCAGAAAACTTAATTTGCTCTAATATTGCATTAATTATAGAATAGCATCTGTATCGAGTTTATATTGCTACTATAACAAATTGTCCCAAAATTAATGGCTTAAAACAACACAGATTTGCTATCCCACAGTTGCAGAGGTCAGAAATTCCACAGGGATCTCACTGAGCTCAAATTTGGGGACAGGACTGCATTCCTTCCTGAAGGCTCAAGGGGAGAATCTGTTTTCCTTCCTCTTCCTAATTCCAAATGCTCTCTATATTCCTTGGCTTTTGGTCCCATTCCTCCGTCTTCAAACCAGCAATTGTCTGACCCTTTTGCTGTGGTCACGTTTCTGTGTCTGGCCACTTGGCTAGGACAGGTTCCCAGGTTTTCATGTAAGGTTTCCTATAATAAGTTTGGGACCACTTGTGTAATTCAGGATATTGCCATGTAAAATAACATATTCATAGATTAGAATTAGGGCATGAACGTTGTTGTGAGGCCATTATTACTCTTAGCACAGCATCCAGATAAGAACGGCAGTAGTGTTAAGCTATTAGAATATGCCCAGAATATTTTTACTATGTCTCACTTCAATTGAGCACTTGAAAATTGTAGGAAAGAACCAGAACAGGGAGGAGGAGGTTTGGAGTTGTACCAATCTCAAGGGCGTTTAAAGGAATAGAGTGTTTGGCTTAGAAAAATATAGCTTAGACCTCTATTTAGGGGTAGGGGCAGACTGTGATTGATGAGGCCTGAGATGACGGCTGTCTTCAAAATATCAGAAAGTTCTGTCACAGACAGAGGATTGAAACTTATGCTTCACAATCTCAAAGAACAGAATAGAATAAATATCTGGAAACTCCTAGAGTGCAGCCTTTGGCAGAAAATCAGGCAGAGCTGTTATGGCTGTTACTGATGTCCTTAAGTGCCGCAGGCTAGAAATGTCGTAGCTTGATGGTGTGGGAAGTCTTATAAAAAACATTTAAGTATTAGATGAAGGATCATCTCAGATGAACCCTTAACCTAAATCTAATCCTTGTAGTTAATCTCGTAGTTAATGATTGTGTAACATTCTGTATGGCTTAGAATTCTTTTTTTTTTTCTTTTTTTTTTTTGAGAGTTTAGCTCTTGTTGCCCAGGCTGGAGTGCAATGGCACGATCTCGGCTCACTGCAGCCTCAACCTCCTGGGTTCAAGCGTTTCTTCTGTCTCAGCCTCCTGAGTAGCTACGATTACTGGGATTACAGGGGCCCGCCACCACACCTAGCTAATATTTTGTATTTTTAGTAGACATGGGGTTTCACCATGTTGGCCAGGCTCCTGACCTCCACCCGCCTCGGCCTCCGAAAGTGCTGGGATTACAGGCGTAAGCCACCATGCCCAGCCTTATTCACAGCTTTTGAATACCTCTGATTGCATATAGCTACAGTCTAACAGGGCCTTTCATCTTTATTGAGGATCGTTTCGTTCTCACAAAATCCATTGTAAGGATCTATCCCATGCCACAAAAAGGAAGGGGTGAAGAAAGCTGGTAGAGTTGAGATGCCCCCTTGGAAGGTGAAGTGGTCCAGATTATTGTTGAGAATATAAAAACAATGACCAAAGGAACGGTGCAAGATTTTAAATGCACACAAATACTTAGAAAAATGCTCTCCTCTGGCATATCAGACGTGAAAACAAAACAAACAAATAAGCTTTAAAGAGTCAAGGCTTGAAGAAAGTGTAGATTCATTGCTATTAGGTGGTCTGTGTGAGTATTAAGTATGATTCATCTTTTGAGGAAGTTAGATATTTTAAAATGAAGGAAAAAGAAGTAGATAAGGGTTATTTCGTCTTGATTCAGGAAATAATACATTTTTGAGACTCTTTTCATCAATCCACTTTGGGGATGATTATTTGGAATAACTTGTTTAAGATTCATGAAACTGCTGCAGAAAATGTTGTTGTTTTTGTCACTAGTGTATGCTGCATAAAAGCTCTTCTTTATACTTTTTCAAGAATTACTTTAACATGAACATTCTTGACCTTTTAAGTATACATCTGAATGTTTAGATTATAAACCTGAAGTGTACTGTGTAATGTTAGACTATTTGACCAAAAACGTATTTTCTACCACAAGAAAAGTCCAAAAGGAATTAAGTTAATTCCAACTTCAATTGTATTCAAGATCGGTCTTAGTGGTTCTTTACATCTGTGATTTACGTATCTTCAAAGAGCGTCTTCAGTGTCTTTGGGACTGTAATGGGCATTCTAGACTAAGAGGAGCTTGTTCAGACACTTAAGATTTGGGACCAATGCTTTCAATGACTTCATAGCCATTCCATCTTCTTTCTACTTCTGTGGATGACCCAACAGCAATAATGATAATCTGAGCCAGCTCCTGATACTTCTCTCTATAGTCAGGAGAAGGTCAGCTATTTTTTGATCCCCATGGGAGAAAGACAGCTCCTCAATCACTATCTTAAAATAGCCTGCAATTCTCAGCTGCTGGGCTGGAGTCCCTCCAGGGGACAGCAAAGGGAATATGAATCTGCCGGCGGGGCGTGAGCGAGAAGCCACCAACACACGAGCTAGGACAGCCTTCTCAAGAAGATTCTGCCGACTCAAAAATATTATTTTTTTTTTTACTGTTGTTTCTGAGGAACTAGGGGTCTTACCATTTTAAAATTTCATATTTTATTTAAAAGGAAACCAGTGAATTGAAAATGAGGCTAAATATCGCTATCTTCTTTGGAGCTCTCTTTGGTGCTTTGGGGGTGTTACTCTTTTTGGTGGCTTTTGGATCGGATTATTGGCTTCTTGCAACTGAAGTGGGGAGATGTTCAGGTGAACAGAATGTGAGTCTCTTCTTCAAAATAGTGATACACATGGTAGTTATTTATGAAGACAGTCTTATGTATGCTCTGGAAACCAGAGAGTAGTAGTGGAGTGTGTGTTTCTTCATAGAAGAGATACATAGAAAGCTACAGAGCTTTGTTATTTGGGATAAAATACATGTCCTTAAAAACTTCCTGGCTGTAATGATTTTGATTCTATTTCTCGTACTGATGGCAAGTTACTTCATCTTGTTCTGTTCAGATAGAGAATGTCACTTTTCACCATGAAGGATTCTTCTGGAGGTGTTGGTTTCATGGGATTGTGGAGGAGAATGACTCCAGTATTTGGAAGTTCTGGTACAGTAAGTACAATTCAGCTTCATTTTCCCCCTTGTCTTTAAAATAAAAATGAACAATTTCTTACATAGTATATGTCACTTTGAGAGGACTGGATTATGAGTTACAAAATCTCAATTAGATGTCTTTAAAAGGTTCATCATGTCGAGATTCCTTTTCAGTAAGTAGACATGGCTACAGGAATAATGATTTTATCTTTTAGCATAAAACAGGAGTCTGATTATTTATGGCAAAACTGAATTAGCCAGTGTTTCTCTGCTCCTATTTAGAATACACTAACTCGAACAAACAGAACAGGTATTGTCTATAGCATTTTTTCAAGTGTCTGTGAATACTATGTTGCAAATAAATGAGATGTTTTTGCTATCAGCCCTTGAAATCTCAAATGTAAAAATCCATAAATAGAGATGTATTATTTTATATTCATAGCGTCAAAGTTAACAGTATCTTTTTTAAAAAAAATGATAATTACCAGCAATGGCAGATGAAAGCTTATATTATTTGAGGTTTAACCAAGTTTGTTGGCACTATCAAGAAATGCCTTGCTTTTGATGTTTGTGTTCTCATTGAAACTTTAAAGTCACTTTTTAAGGTAGCGTAACTTTTAAAAACTATAATGCATTCCTTCAATTGTATTTTTTATATTGAATTATTCTTTGAAAATCCATTTATTGAAAATAGCTAGCACTTATTTCATTGTATTCAACAATGAAAGAGCTGTTTATTAGCCTAAAGCTTATTGAGAATTGAAATTATTAGTCTTCTTATCAAAAATCAAAGTATGGTATATACATAATAGTCAGGATTATGGAACATTTAATAAAAATAGGAGGTCCCTGAAAACTTAAGCAAGCTGGTGGTAAGTTGGCATATATAAGGAACAAAGTAGTGATGAAGCCGCCTTTTGAGGCAAGTACGTGATAGACTATCTTACAGTGGATTTAGGGGCAGGAGAATAAGCATACAACTTGCCAGTGGAAATGATTTAGACTTTGGTAAAGGAAAGTCAGTCAGACTGTGCAAGAGGAAGATTTTGCCAAAGACTTTGAGAAAGAAAGAATATTTCAATATTTCAGTCCGCCTTAAAGTGTACATACAAAAATTTTAAGTTTTCAGACAACTTAAAAGTAACTTCTTGTGATGTTTTCAAATATTAAAAATTTATTTGAATTATGGTCTAACTTATCATTTGCATTCTTCCCTAAAATAAAATGGATATAGAAGAAATTTTTTTATTAATTTGAACTAATCAAAGTTAAACTTAAGTTTATTAGATTTTTAAAACAATTATTTTTTAATCCCTACTGTGTGCTAGACACTATTAGGTACTGAAGAGTACATGAAAATAGATGAAATGTGGTACCTTAAATCACAAGGTGATATAAAGGGCATTTGCATTTATTCCATTGAATTATGTCATGTAGCTAGATGTTCTGGATGAATCCACCTTCCAAGTCTCATGTGCATCTTGATATGAGTTTCCTAGAAGGCCCTCCTCACAACAATTCTCTGAATTTGCTGATGGAACCGGTAGTTTTATTTTGCTTGTGTAACCCTTGTGCTCTGTATTTCTGTTCCATTAAGGATGAGTCATCACTGAGTTTTTCAATAACAGGTGCCATTTTTTTGCTCTCCTTCCTAGCCAATCAGCCAGCATCCAAGAACTGCACGCATGCTTACCTGTCTCCATACCCCTTCATGAGAGGCGAGCACAACTCGACCTCCTATGACTCTGCAGTCAGTAAGTACTTTCTGTCCTCAGCCTGCCTCTGAAAGGGTTTTATCTTTCTGAAGGATGCACAGATCAAAATTGTTGAGAGCAATTAAAGAACAATTTAAGACCTATAATTTCAATTTTTTTGATATCTGTTAGATTAAAAAATGTTATTTTTAATGTGCCGTTTATAATTTTAAAGAACATAACTTTGATCTAAAAGTAAAGTCATTGTAATTTACTAGCTGCCTATTAAAGTATTTTTAAATGTGCTTTCCCATATGAAGATAGTAATATTTATTAAGAAGAACTGCTTCTTAAGGTTTTAACAGACCTAAAATGAGTCCTACAGTTGAAACTGTTGTAATATACATCATACTTCTAAAACTTTTTTGTAATCATTACACATGAGAATATAACAGATAAATATATATAATATGTATATAACACATATATATGATATAAATATATAGTTACGCTACTATATTCATACAAAATGACTGAACTCTGTGTGTGTAATATCCCGTAGGAGAAAGCCAGACAGATATCATTACCTTAAAATCACAGTAAGAACATGAAATTTGTAATAACTTGCTCAGGGTTGGTACAGACTATCAATGTCATATATAGAACAGAAAAATGTTTTTCAAAAAGCGTAGCTATTATATTTAATGTTGTCAATAAATTAATATGAGTCAAGATTCTCCAGAAAAAAGAGAAACAATAGAACACATAAATATATATTATATACACATATAGGTATATACATATGCATGTACACATACACACACACACTTAGAGTGAGAGAGAGTGATTATGAGGCCTGGTAAGTCTGAAGTCTACAGGGCAATTGGCAGGCTGGAGATTCAGGTCAGAGCTGATGCTGCAGTCTCCAGTCTGGAGACTCCAGTAGAATTTTTCTTCCGCAGTCTGGAAGCTGACTTTCTTCTTCCTCAAGAAACCTGTTTTTTCTCTTTAGATCTTCAACTGATTGGATGAGGCCCACTCATAGCATGGGGTAGGGGGTAATCTACTCTACTCAAAGTCAAGAAATTATAAATGTTAATTGCATCTAAAAATACGTTTACAGCAATATCAAGCTATTATTTTACCCAACAACGTGGCACCATAATCCAACCTAGTGGATATATGACAATAACCATCACAGAACTCAACACATTTTTACATGTAACTATTTTTCATCTTTCTGTTAAATATGTAATTCTATACATTGTAATTTTGTTTTAGTTTTGTCAAAGAATGTAGCATTTGCTTGTATTACATCACAAATAGGACACTTATAAAGAGAGTGTGAGATCTGGATAGGGAAAGAGGTGAGCTGACCCGCAGCTGTGCTTGTCCACCAGGGTTCCTTGGGTTGGAAGGACTGGAGCCACTTTCCTTGAAAACATGTGTAGTATGGATGCTCCTTCCCATTAAAAGCTACAGAAGACACCTCCCTCACATTTGTCAAAACCTTGGTGTCATGTGGAGTGGACTTAGAAGTATACAAGCCTACCTGTCACTAGTAAGAGAAGAGATGGATGGCATAGGAAAGAATAGGAGAAACTCTTTTGTTTTACAGACAAGTTACAAAACGATGCTCCTTCCCCAACATTCTTCCTTTTATGAAATGAACTGAAAAGTAGTACAAGATTGGCTTTCCAGAACATTTAGTATTAGCATAAATATTAGTATTGTTGTTATGCATATAATGAGGTCCTGTGATAAGATATGTATTGTAGGCACCGTATATTTTAAAATGATCACATATTTGAAAAGCCTTTGCTTCAGGGAGATAGTGGAGAACTTGAAAAACAAAGTAACGTAATCTGTGCATAATAATTATGATGGAGATGGATTGTAAATACGTGTCAGAAAAATTATACTGCAATTACACTTAGAATTATTATGTAGCACTGCATTTAATTAGTGTGTCACTTTTTTGATCTAGTGACAAAACCAAATCCAATTTTTTTAAATTATCAAATTCCTCATTGGCACACATACTGGAACTCATTCACTTTCAGAAACTTTGTCAATCACTTTAGGTAAAAATGATTGAGATGTGCAAAGATGTGTTCTACAACAGAAATGCTATACCCAAGTTTCATTCATCATCATAATAATGTACAAGGAAATTTGATATTACGTTTGTTAAATTTGTGGGGTTTTTTTGTTTGTTTCTTTCCTGTATCCAAGAGAAAGTTATAGATTTCATCGGAAGCTTTATATCTGACTTTTCAGTATGGTTTCCTAGTTAATGAGACTACATATCCTTCACTACGCTTGAGAATCACTATTAAGTTTCATGTAGCTTCACAATTACCCAACATCAGATACTTGCCAGGTCACCTTTGGTAAATTGAAAGTATCATTTATAAATTCTGATGTGTTGTGGCCTGGCAAAGTATTGGTGAAATGGCTTTGTAGTGTCCTGAGCTTTTACAATTGCAGTTAGCCAACGTTGAATTCAGTGAAAATAATATAGTGGGTGTATGATTTTTCTGGAGTAACAATTTTAGAATTATAGGATACTACCAATGAAATTATCCTTTTATAATAAGGAGACTGGGAATTAGAGAAATCATGTGATTCCGTCTTCATACAGCTGCTTATTGGCAGAACCAGTGCAAAGAACTAAGTCTGGCTTTTGTTTTATTGATAATCTAACAAACTACAACGAATGAAAAGGCTAATTGTAGTGCATACTATTAAAAAATATAAGTCTTTTATTTGTATCTTTACAAAATAACAAATTAAACTTCCATTGGCTCTTTCTACCTTTATATTCGAAGCTGACTTGTGTGTATAATCAGGCCTAATTCAGTGTTTTCTTTCATTTAAAAGAATCTCAACTACATATTCTGAAATTCAGTTATCCTCAAATCTAGTTATTTGAATGACTGGCCAAGCCTAGTGAGGGTGGCCTAATTCGCAGAATTGCTTTTGAGGTAGGCTTGTGTACTGAGTCCATTGAACAATTCTGTTACCTTTGGAGACTTGTCAGAGTCTAGATTTTCTGCTTTGTTTCATGTTTACATTCAGTCACAGTTCACTTGCTTGGCATCATTTGGCAATGATGTACTGAACAGAAATGAATTTTCAAGACAATTCCACCCCGAGTGAATTAATTTTTTGCTTTCTCAGTGTCCCCATAGCCTTTGATGACCCCTCTATCAGTGCTCATTATGCTTAACTGCAATTTTTTGTTTACCTCACTTCCTACATTATGTATTCGAGCTCTCCAAAGCATAGTTCCTGGTAATTACGAGATGCTTAAAAATATGTCTAGAATGACTTTATGCAAAATTACAGTTACTGTTTTCAGCAATAAACTAGTTTGATTTTATTTTTCCAAGTGGAAATGTTTATAAACTCAATTGCATACTTTTCATTTCTTCTGAAGCAGAATGCAATGAACACAGTTTCAGCTTTTCTTGGTGAGTGGGAACAAATACGTACTTACAGGGGTGAGCTATCTGACCTCCTTTAAGGTCGTCTGTCTCAGTATCTGTCCCCTTGCCCCAGGTCCTGTGTATATGCCCTAAACTTCCCCAAACGCTGTTCCTCTCTTCCTTCCTCCTCTGTTCATTTTTCTAACAGAGCACGTTTATCCCTCCAGCCAGTTCAAGCTTCAGTTTCCCAAGGAAGGCTTCCTTACTTGCCCTCTACCCTGCTGGTTCCTGCGCTGGGCCATGCTCTCCTTTATAAAACCCAGTCTTTAATCTGATAATTCGTAGCACAGTTTTAAACTATTTACTCATGTACTTATCTTGTTCATGTACTTTCTTTCCAGTTCAATCCTAAGCTCCATGAGAGTGGGGGTCTTGTATGTTTGGCTCTCTATTGTATCCACTGTGGACCAAAAGCTGAATGCACGTTTTGGGGAGATTCATTATTACACTGTACTGTGGTATGAATACTGATGCCCTAAGTCGCTCTTGATGTGCAGAATTTCTTTAGCCCTTTACTAAATTGACCTACACTTTAAAAATTTAAAATTAAAAAAAAAAAAATTTGGCCAGACGTGGTGGCTCACGCCTGTGATCGCAGCACTTTGGAAGGCTGAGATGGGCAGATCACTTGAGGTCAGTTAGAGACCAACCTGGCCAACATGGTGAAATCCTATCTCTACTAAAAAAAAAAAAAAAAATCACACATACACACAAAATTAGCCAGGCGGGGTGGTGCACACCTGCAATCCCTACTGCTCGGGAGGCTGAGGCATGAGAATTGCTTCAACCTGGGAGGCAGAGGTTGCAATGAGCTGAGATCATGCCCCTGCACTCCAGCCTCGGCAACAGAGCAAGACTTCAGCTCAGAAAAAAATTTTTTTTTTTGCATGCTTTCTGTAATTTTTGGTCTTCCATGTAGTTTTTGCCTGCCAGCTGTCTTTTGCTTTTATTGTCAATGTTTATTTATCTAGTACTATTTTCTGGTCTTCTTTTACCCTTATAAAAGTGTAAGCTGAAGTGAATGATGTGAGGCTACAAGCAGGGAGGCTACAAGCGAGGCAAGATGTTAGTTGGCAATGCATTAGGCTGCAAGTAACAAAAAACAAACTGTAGCTCAAAAGGTTATTTTTCTCCTGTAACAAGAGGGTCAGAAGCACCTTCCACAATGATGCTGCCAGGAACCCAGGCTCTGTCAACTATTTCTTCCACCATCCTTGGAGTTGGATAGTTACCTTCATGCTCTTTCATTCTAAGGAAAGTGGAAGTGCTCCTAGAATTTAACAATCAGTTTCTGCCCATGTTTTATTTATCAGAACAATGTCATGTATCCCTCTGGTTGGTACACATTGGTTTGGGCTGTCTAGCAACATAGAAGGGAAATGGAGAAAGCCTGGGAGTGAATGAAAATCAAAATCATTCAGTGAATCAATATCATCAGGGGTTGAACAAAAGTGGGATCATAAAAATGGAAAGGATATAAAGAATATAATTGATATGTGAGGAGTTCACATGTAAAATAGGTAGCCAAACAAAAAAGAGCTGGAGGGATCAAGGATGATGAAGAAGTTT